TAAGACTTCCTTTTCCTGACACAGGCCCTAAACTGGCAGCAATAGCTGCCCCAATAATTTTGCCCCCCCTTTTTTAATTAATTGTAATGAACGTTTACAGACACATTGGATTTTCATTCATTAATTGTTGCATTTTTTTCTCCCTGCCCTGCCTACCCCCTTCACTCTTCTCTTTGAAAAGTAAAAGAAAAATTCTTTCATTGATGTACAATCTCCTCCCCCCCCACTACACTCCACTATTTAGCCTTCATTTTGGACTCTTGTCATGACCATAATACCCAATCTTATATCGCTTTTAAACACTTCTCTCCCTCATCTGGTTCAATGCAGTATACATAATTTATTCAATCTATCTCAGTCTCACCTCAACACCAACATCAGTCTCCTTCTACAACAGTGGCACTGTGCAGTATTTGTCCTTTTGTGACTGAGATGTTTCACTCAGCATAATGTCCTCCAGACCCATTTTGAATAATATTTCATGAGTTCCTTGTTTTTCAATGCAGCGTAGTAGTCCATTGTGTGAATATACCAGAGCTTCCCTATCCATTTGTTTGTTGATGGGCACTTAGGTTGTTTTCCAACTCTTTGCTATTGTGAACAAAGCCGCAAAAAATATGAGTGCTCAGAGGCTATAATTCTTGCAGGAGGAGATTGCCCACTGTTCTTGGTGGTAGATTTGACTGTTTGCCTTTGGCTACCACTGCTCCTTAATTGTTTGACAGGAAAATAATTGCTGAACCCCTGAAGGAGCTTCATGGTTTGGGAGCCTGGTGCATGTCAGTGTGGCTTGATAACTAATTTTTTATTCAGATCAAGCCCTTCAGAGAATGAAATTAGAATAACAGAAGTAGAGTGGGATTGTCTCAGGCAAATGGGGTTGTGGTACTGCAGTGCTGGGGCAGAGATAAGAATTTTGTTGATAAAAATAATTGAGAAATTGGTGTGAGTCCTGTCTTTTTTGTCACCAAGAGGTCATCCAGCACTATTTTGTGCCAGGTATCAGATACTAAGAGTGCAAAAATTAGTTGATTTTAAAATTTCTTAAGGTTTACTCTCTTTAGTCAGCAAATTTAGCAGTGAACAGTTAGTTCATGCCTGCTCTATTAATAGTTGAGGCAAGTGAAAATAAGTGTATTTAATTATTGTTGTGTGCTGTGGAGTGACTGACTGAGAAGAACGGGAATCCCAGAACACTTGATCATGCTAATGAGAAACCTATACTTGGACCAAGAGGCAGTTGTTAGAACAGAGCAAGGAAACACTGCATGGAAGGGCATACGCCAGGGATGTGTCCTGTCTCAGTACCTTTTCAACCTGTACACAGAACAGATTATCCGTGAGTCTGGGCTCTATGAGGAGAAATGTGGGGTCAGGGTTGGTGGAAGATCTATCAACAATCTGTGTTATGCAGATGACACAACCCTGCCTACTGAAACTGAGGAGGACCGGAAGCGCTTGCTGCTGAGGGTCAAGAACTGCAACCTTCAAGTAGGATTGAGGCTCAATATCAAGAAGACAAAGATTCTCACCACTGGACCAATTGGCAGTATCAGGATGGATGGTGAAGAGATTAAGATTGTTCACAGCTTTAGTTTGCTTGGCTCCACAGTCAACACTCTTGGCACCAGCAGCCAGGAAATTAAAAGATGTATTGCAATGGGAAAGTCTGCTGTTAGGGACCTCTCCAAAGTACTGAAGAGCAGTGCTGTCTCTCTGGAGACTAAGGTGTGTTTGATACAGGCCATGGTCTTTGCTATTACTTGTTATGCATCAAAGAGTTGGACAATGACTAAGGAGGATAGAAGGAGAATTGATACCTTTGAGCTGTGATGCTGGAGAAGAGTATTGAGTGTACTATGGACTACTATGAAAACAAACAGGTTCATCCTGGAGAGGGTTAAACCGGTTGGCTCCTTGGAGGCAAGGATTCTGAGGCTCCATCTAACATACTTTGGACATGTTATAAGGAGGGACCGGTCCTTGGAGAGGGACATCATGCTTGGTAGGGTGGAGGACAGTGCATGAGGGCAAGGCCCCCTATGAGGTGGATTGATTCAGTGATAGGTGTATTGATCAGGGTAGGTGTATTGGAGACAGTGTGATTGGCACAGGACCGAACAGAGTTTAGGGCTGTTGTGCATAGGGTCGCTAGGAATTGCAAGCGACTTGATGGCACATAACAATTACAGCAACAACTGTGGAGTGAAAACCAATCTGGAACTGACCCTCCAGTGCGTTTTCAGAGGCAGTAGTTAATCACATGGGATGAAGTTGCCCCCTCTGTCGGTGGATCAGCCAGTGGATTCAGATTGCCTATTTCAAATTGCTATTAGGTCATCCTGTATTTAATAAGGAAAGAACAATTATTTTTCAGCCCAGAATTTGGAATTTTGAAGACGGTGTTTTAATACCCCTTCATCCTTTACCTTCACGACCATTTCCAGCCTGAAGCTTAGCTACTCTTAGGATCTACAAGTATTAGTGTACATTCTGTTTGGAATCTACTTGCTAATTAAAAATCACTTATGGATGGAGCACCTAAGAGTGTTGATGTTTCTTTTATTACTTTTTGCTTCTGTGTAGAAGTGGGACATTGTGTTTGGAAAGCAGAGGAAATATAAGTGGTGAGGTTAGATCTTGTGCATTTTTTAGTGCCTCTGGGTTTTGAGAGAGAAGGTATGGGAGAAAGAAAAGCTATAAGGAAGGAATTGGTTGGGGGAAATAGAATCAAGAATAAAAGACACTGACATGAATTTTTCTAAACTATGTAAATAAATATTGGCATATACATATGTGCAAATGAATATGATATACTAAAACAAATTGCCTCTCAATTCTTCCCTGAACTTTTCACTTAAACTCTTGAAATGCGTTAGTCCTGTTAATAACAACTCATCACAGAATTTTCAGGAAGAAGGGGAAAAGCTTCAGAATCCAGTAAATAGAATTATCATTCTTAAACTTAGTTACGTTTTCCTAAACTTAGGGAATTTCTAATCTTGGGAATTCATGAGCATGAATTTCAATGTCATAAAATATGTAAGAATTTAGCATGACAAAGTAGTCTTGCATTGACTTTAAATTTTTTTCATATTAATTAAAGATTATACTGAATTTTCATTAAAGCATTTTTGAAAAGGGACAAAATTTTAAAAGGGAGTTTTAAATTTCTTGAGCTATTATGGGATAATATGATTTAAAGTGGTGTTGCTTTTAGGTACTTTATAATAATTATGTAGGATTTCTCATTTTAGCAATTTGTAGTTTTTCCAGAAGAATAACATAAGGCAAAATAGGGAAAGTGCAAAAATTAACAATGAACTTCAGTGTCTCTTATTGAGAGTACAGGAGAGGAATTAATCTTCTGATAATTAGGAACATGAGAGAAATTTGAACTCAAACTTCTTTTGGCAAATTATTTTGACATAGCTATATATTTTTATAGTCATCTTTGACTCGATGGCTCTTAACACCAACTATATATATATATATATATATATATATATTTTTTAAAAAAAAAAGAGTAACCCATGTAAAGAAATACTAAAGGCCTACATGAAGTTAAATTATTTTCCTTCAGAATGAAAGTGTTTATACTTTTTATATTTTGGAAACTGAGTAACTTGGAAAGACTGTTGACAAAATACTTGAGAATGTTGTTTTTCTTGCTTTAATATGTTAAATCCCCCCAAACAAAGAAGTCGCTTAAGTTAACTGTATGAATACAAAATGTAGGGCTTAAGGAAAGCTCCGCCTCAGAGCCAGCTGCACCAGGAGAACAACTGGAGCCAGAAGCTGCTGGAGAACAGGTGCACCCTGGGACAGGTAAGCTGTCCTCCAACCCGCAGAGCTGCCTTCGCCAGACAACACCCCAATTTGCAGTTTAGAGAATTAGTTTTTCTTGACTTTTCTTTTACATTGTTCTCTAACAAGTTACTTTTTTTCCTTCCTGAAATTCTGTAGTAAACGTCAGTTTTTCACTAAAAAAATTTTCTACAACATTAATTTTTTAGGTAAAGTAGTCAAAGCATAAATTTCCTGTCCAATACTACAGCCTTAGGAAGATCATGAGCTGAATAAGAGCCGTGTGCTTTAGGTCCTGGCTCTTTAGCACAGCTGAGCCATGGCACATGGCAGGTGGAAATGGGCACTATGCATTAGTTCCGTTACTGCACATACTTAACAAAGCAGAACTAGCAGGGGTTATTGAACAGTAGGATCTCCTTTCCACATGAAAACCCGCCAGCCAGCCAGCCAGCCAGCCCTGTGAAAGTCTAGATGCTTTTACCTGCAGAGTTTGTTAGCCCCGCTAAATGTCCTTAGAGTTACCCAGGGCTTGTGACCAAGTAATTTAAAATCATGTACTCTTTTTTTTGTACTCTTTTAATTTTTTAAAAATTAAATTGTAATTATTTTTTGTTTGCTATTCATTATTTATTGGGAAAGTAGTGGTTTTTTTTTTTTTAAACCCTCTGCTCACGAAATGTGGCTTAATCGTGCCACCTATTGGAAATACTAGGTACAACACTATATTTACTGGTAATATTAAGTACTGGATCCAGAAAGTAGTTTAGATGGCTTTTATCCCTGTTAATTGGTAAATAATAGTTTGTTTATCTTGAAAGTAATATTTTTAAAATAGCTGTGTTTTTCTGATTTGTACTACATAAGTAATAACCTACAGGGAGTTTACTTCCTTCTTCTACTACTACCTCTGATATTCTTTAAGTTACTGTAATCATACCATGGCTTGGGAAATTAATTTTCTTCTTAGGTTTTATAATTTAAATGTGTGCTCTGATTTTATTAAACTTTTACTTTATACTAATTAAATTTGTAATTTAAAAATCTTGTGTAGAAATGCTCCAAAGTTGGCACATACTCTGGAAAGCCTTGCATTTGATGTCCACTCTTTATTATTTTTTGTTAATATTACTCTCTGTAAATTACTGCTACCATATTCCTCTAATAGAGCAGTTTATTATGGTATTGTTGTTATTTTGTGTGGTCGAGTTACTTGTGACTCATAATGACCTTGTGTATAACAGCTCTGAACCCTGCTCTGTCTGGAGCCAGCCTCATTGTCCCTGACACAATTAACTCTATTACCCCAGTCACTGAGTCAGTCCACCTCATCCAGGGTCTTCCTCTTATGCTGTCTCTCCACCCTTCAAAGTATGATGTCCTCTCCAAGGAATGGTCCCTCCTTGCAACCTGCCCAAATTATGTCAGATGAAACTTCAAAATCCTAGACTCCAAGGAGCAGGCTGGTTTCACCCTCTCCAGGACAAACCTGTTTGTTCTCCTAGCAGTCCGTGGTATATTTAGTACTCTTTTCCAGCACCACAACTCGAAGACATCAGTTATTCTATCATCCTTAGTCATTGTCCAGCTTTCTGATGCATAGCAAGTAATTGTGAAGACCATGGCCTGAACTAAGGCACACCTTACTCTCTAGACTGACATCATTTATCTTCAGTGCTCTCGAGAGGTCCCCGACAGCAGATTTTCCCAATGCAGTTTATCTTTTGACTTATATATTCAACTTCTTTATAATATTTGTTTTTGTTTAAATAGTGTCTTCTCAATGTCTTACCTCAGTATTTAATTTCTCTCTCTTGTGTCTTTGTTCATCCATTAAAAGCATGTGTACTAATTTCTCATTAAAAAAATAATAAAACTTTGTGTGACACCTGCATTATTTTCTATCACCTTCCAATGTTTCTCCTTATTGTGCTAGCCACACTTTTGGAAGAAGAACCTATACTTATTTTTATCACTTTATTTTTCCATTTACTCTAACCCTTAGGGAGCACTAGTGGCCAGGTGAATTGCTGTTCTGCCAACTGAAAGGCACACAGCTCTTCCATGGGAGAAAGATGAGCAATCTCCTCATGTGATTTATTGTCTCTTAAAACCCACTGTAAACTCAGCTTGGGGTCAATATGACTTGACGGCACATCACACCACCACCAACCTCAACCCTTTCATCCTCTACCCAGGAAGAGCATTCACCAAATCATGGGGCGTTGAGCCATCATGTGTTTACCAAGTTCAAAGCTAGTGCTTTTAGCAGATTATTTTGGAGATGTGTGAGTACTAGATTTTTATCTGTTTGTGCAAAGGAAGCTATTATTGAAGTGTTTAGCCAAACGGTAAAACACCCGGTGTTGCCTACCTCCCATTGCTATCTTGCAGAACTCATTTCAGTGATTGTAACACCAAGAGTCCAATTAGGAAGCAGTCATAGGCATTATGAAAGATGAAGAAGGAGAGGTGGATGTTGACAGGCTCTTCTGTAATGTTAGGACATTTCTGTAAAAGTGTTCAATTAAATACAGACACTTGCAAACAAAAATGTAAGGCATCATATGGACTTGAAACTATTTTGTATGTAATTAAATTAGCATAAGAGATATTATAGTTACATCTCCATTCTTATCAGAAGTTCAGCTTATTCTATAAAGAATAGCTTCCAACAGAACCAATGTAACTGGTATTATTTCATTTCACAGCATTTGCAAAGCCAGTCTACAGTTACTTCTGTTCACTGAATGTATGCACTGTGCTTATTTAAAAATGTGGAATAGCAGTGAGGCAGGCATACCTGTTGCTTTTGGGTGGAGGGGGATGCTGCATTTAAATCTGTGATGCTTTCTGCCTCACAGTCTTATAAAAAAAGTAGTTAATAATTGTTTACTTTTGTGTTTGACTTTTAACTGAATTTTTGCATTTTGCTACCAACTGAGGCCCTCTCCAAAGATGTGATGTGAGATGTACAGAAGTTTTTCCACTCATCCTTCTTAATAACTTGTAGATGTTTTTCATACCACCTTGATTGTCCCCCAGTTTAGCTGAGCGGGCAAATGGGCCTTCTACTGAGTGTTAGTAAGGATAGTGGATGAATTTATGTGTTAATATATGCAGACTTTGTTGTCTTTACTTTTACCGTTATTACCCTGTACTTATAAAAGCTTTCTCCTGCCTTCTTGTTACCATTTTATAAAGCGAATACTTGTGTTATTGATCTTTGAAGAAAAAATATTTTTAATGTTCTCAGTGTACAACCAGTAATCGACCATTTGAGGACATTGTAATTTTGTATGTTCTTTCATTATCATGAATTGTGTTACTGAGAAATGACTGAAGTGATTTCTTTTAGTTTCTTTCTTAAAAAGTATTTTGGAAAAGTCTCTTAATATTTATTTCTGTTGACAAAGTATAAACCAATCTAAAATTACCTATTATGCTTGCCAGTATAGAAAAGAAAGTTGTGTAGTAAGAACAAGATGCATAATTGACTGGCCAAATGTATTGATTAATCATATATGAATTACTCATGCATATGCACATGAATAACACCTTTGATGAGATGGATTGATTCTGTGACTGGAGTGGTGGGAATAAGTGCGTTTGGGATGGCTAGGTTGGCACAGGATAGAATGGCGTTTAGAGCTCTTGTACATAGGGTCACTATGAGTCACAAGCGACTTGATGGCACATAACAACAATTAAAAATTATGTTGGAAATCAATGTTGAAAATGTTTCTGCTTGGTATGTATTGTAATTATTTTAGAACCCCAGGCTAGTGAAGATGAAGTGAAAGAAGACATTCAAGCCTTTCACCATGAAACAGTACACACAGAGCATGGTACGCACTGAAATCTGTTTTATTACAAGTTGCTAAAGTAATGTTAAATGATATGGATTGACTTGGGCCTTATTTTTAAGTTTGAATGTCAATTCAGTGTTTGGTTGGCTTTCTTTGACTATGTTTCTGAAGTTCTTAGAGCTTAGGTACTATTTCTGAAATGGTACAAGATTTATTTCATCTAAAGGATCTCAGGTGGTCCAGTCAGTAGGGCGTTGTGCTGCTATCCAACAGCCCATGCTTCTCTGGCAGTTCAAAGCCACCAGCAGCTCCTTGGGAGAAAGAGAGGTTGTCTCCTCCCATTCAGATTTGCCTCAGAGATCTGGTGGAGGGTCACCATAAGTGATGGACCACTTGATGGCAGCAAGTTTTTAATGGCAAAGGCAGGGAAAAGTTTGATTAAACAAGTAGGGATTGATAATACATGAAGAATGCTGTTACCGTCAGTTCTGACAGAAATGCCCAGAACTCAACAGCTCTGCGAGAGAAAGATGTGGCAACTTGCTTCTGTATAAAAAATTCATGACCTCATGAGGCAGTTCTGTCCTATTCCATCCTGTAGGGTTTCTAGGAGTCAGAATCAACTCCATGGCAGAGGGTTTGACTTGAGAATGTGTGTTCTCCAGACTTGGGTGTTAGAAGAATCTTCCTGGGGTGATACTAGAATTTAGAAGCTGGATCAGTCATTGAGGTAGAGAACTGGGCAGCTTCTAGACATATGACAGCAGTGTAGGATGAAGGCTTATGGAGTATGTAGGTGGAGAGTGAGTAGAGAAGGGATTTAGTAGGTGTTTTGATTTGATTCTAAATGTAATTGAAGGCCCTGAAGAGTGTTTACTATGGTGTGTTCTGGCCATAGCTTGAAAGGTGTAGGAGAGACATAGTACTTGGCAGAGAACCAGGTGGGGAGGCTGGACTGTGATGCAAGGGAATCAACGAGCTGGGTAGTCAACACTGACTTTTGTGGAAGGTGGAAAGGCTGGGTGGACACCTGGCTGGTGTTTGGCAAGCAAGGCAGAGGAGGAATCAAATCTAACTAACATCACAGGCTTTATCCTCCTTTGGAAATGTATAAGGCCTCTGGCTTTAAATGACATCTTACATGAGGATGATGTTTGAAAATCTGTCTCCAAACTAGTGTAATCTAGCTGCATTTTGGACATCTGCATCTGGATATTTTATGCATGTCTCAGTATTATGTCTTTAAACAGAACTCTAGACTCCAACCCACCTCTCATCTCCTCTCCCTACTTGCCCAGTCCATCTTCACAAAAAGAAACCATGAAAACCAAATTTATTCTGACCAAATCTACTTTTCAGTTAAAAGTCTCACCATCCACTTAGTTGTTCAAGCCAATTTTGAAAAAGCCTGAGAATTTTCCTTGTTTCTCTCTTTCCTACGCTCTTCATGACTGCTCCATTGGCAGGCCCTATTGTTTCGTCTCCACCACATACCTCAGTCATCACCTTCACGGTTGGGTCTCCCTGTTTTCCCCCTTGCTCCTGTATATTTGACATAGCCGATGGCCCTAGCTCTGTCCTCTCTGGTCTTAGTGTCTTTCTCACATGTTTACTTTTCTCTGGCCCAGCTGGCCTTCCTTTCTTGTTAAGACTATTGCTTTTCCTGCTGTGCCGGTCAGATCTGATTCGAGGGCACACAACAACAATAAAATATAAAATAAAATAAATACAATGTCACTGGAAAAAAAAAAGACTATTGCTACCTCAGGGCCTTTACACTTGAATCTTCTAACCTAGAACACTTCTTCCTGATCCGCACATGTTGGCCTAACCTGATCTCCCTGACTACCTTATCTAAAGGAATCTCTTTTCTCATTAGTTTTGCATGTCATTTTTGGGTTTAGATCCTGTGTGTGCCAGTGAACAAAGAGCTCAGGAGTGGATAGCAGCAGGATCTGCATGATGGGGAAATCCCTGCACGATGGTAGGGTACACAGAGTTTATATGCATAAGTTGACAGCTCAGACAGCTGTTCCTTTTTTTCGTTATAATTATTAAAGGGGAAGACATACACCAAGAAGAGGATGAACCAGCCAGAGATCAGCAACTAGCAGATGAAGATTTCCTGACAGGAAGTGATATAGATGATAAATTTGAGAGTCAAAACCTGGAAGCAGAAACATTTCATGAAGGTAAAAGAATGTTTTTTGTTATCATCTATAAAATACAATGGGCAGTTTGAAATTGTAATTATTAATGTTTTTCTTAAACTCTTTTAGCATGAATATTTATATTTTATCTAAATATTTTTAAGTAGAAACTATAAACTTCCCTAACTATGTACTCCCTAATTATAGTAGGTAGAAGAATTCTTAGCTTATATACCAGGTATCATTAATGTTTTCTATGAAAGACCAGTTAGTAAATTTTTTAAGCTTTATGAGCTGCATCTGTTCACTCCTTTGATTGCATATAGACCCAGCCATAGGCTGTCCCTAAATGAATGAGCATAGCTGTGCACCTATAAAAGTTTGCTTTAATAAATGATGCAAGTTGTCAATGGCTGAATGATCAACTAATAGCTCTGCCAGTAGCTGATTTATTTTTCTTCAATAAAGCTGCATAAACAAAAAAAGACCACACCCCAAAATTTACTTTAAAAAGTGGGAGGAAGCTAGTCGAGGGCCAATGACCATGTATTCTAGTTTTCTCACGCTTATTCTGTATCATGATTTTAAACAAAGGCTAAGTGCTAACTTAGCCCATATGCAGCAGGCAAGCCTGAGTTACTGTAATAAAAAAGTTTCACTATTGATAAGTACTTTCTATGATGAGAAAAAAGTCCTTTTATTTGTGCATTAGGTTCTTCTTTGCTAAAAATGTGAGATCATCTCTTTAATGTGAAGCCCTACCAGGTTAATTTCGTTTGCTTTGCTGTTTTGATATCATCTCTCCTCTTACCTTAAAGTCTTTACTTGAAAAGTATAAAAAGGTTGTATATAATTTTGTGCTTTAAATGAGTACCGATAAACCAATATTTAGTTATGCTTAGTATTTCAGTTCTGAAAAGTAATAGGACAAATTTATGCTTTAAGGGAGGAGCATTGTTAGAATGATACACAATTAACCATGTTACATGTTAATTACATGGCTCACCAAGTTGTGCCAAGAAATCTGGAGAACAACCACTTGGCCAACTGACTGGAAGAGATCTATATTTGTTCCCATCCCAAAAAAGGTGACCCAACAGAGTGTAGAAACTATAGAACAATCTCACTGATTTCACATGCAAGCAAGATTTTACTGAAGATTATCCAAAACAACTGGACAGCACATCAGCAGAGAACTACCAGAAGTCCAGG